TTGATCACGCATCTATCAGGACATATAATCTTATTGATTTATTGTCCAACATGTGTAAACATTTTCAAAAAACACAAGTTTGCATGAATCTTTTCCTGGGTTGAATCCCATAAATATATTTATTTTGTAACAATTAAAGCTAAATTATTGAAATCCAATTTATTTCTAATTAGGTTTTTTTTTTTTTTTTTTGCTAAGGTGGTTTTTATTCATTAGTAGAGAGAAAAGAAAAGAGAAAACTGATGATTTTCTAGAGTCAGTAAATGCAGTATTAGCAATAGCAAAGCTCACCAAGTCCAAACAGACATTTGCAAATCAAACCCTGGTCGGTTTAAAACCTCCTAAATATGTCAGGTGTGAATAAATGCTGGAACTTAAACTTGAGCTAAACGTCTGTAGAACGATGACAGATGTTGAGTCAGATGTTAAAACAGAAGAGACTCGGATTTCTAGGCGTGTCGTTGGTCATTGATTCCAGTTGAGATATTATAAGTATTTATAAATCACACAGATTTGTGAAATCTGCGTGAAGCAAACTGGATAAACAACAAGTGGAGCTGTTTGACTCATCAGGTCAAAGCATTTGAAATACTAACTGTCTCACTAAACCTGATCGTTTTGGGATCTTGGTGAAAAGTTATGAAGCTTCTTTCATGGCCGTTTAGTTTTCTTCATACATTAAACTGAAACATAAGTAGAGTTGGAATCATATTTCCAGTCCATCCGATGTGTTTTGTATTTTTCTAGACTCAATTAAATAAATGAGGACAAGCCATATTGTTTGTTTTTCTTAAATAAGGCAACGATTCAAAGCCATTTTTATGTTTTAGATTTTTAATAACAGACGTATTTCATGAAAAAGCCCAAGAAAATTACAATAAATTAACTTTTGCATTTTTAATTTAATTAACTTTGTGGCCATTAGTACTTTAAATTTGCCAGTGGAAACTTGAGAAAATCTGTGAGCAATAGGAGCTTGTTTTAAGTCAATAATTCCTTAATATTGATTAAGAGGTTCTATAATCAATATTAAGGCATTATTTGCTTAAATAAGCTCCAAATCTTGAGGAAAAGTTACTTGTAACTTAGTTTTGCTTTATTTCATCTGAACTAAGATGCAATAGGAACCGGACCAAAAACATTTGGTGAGATTTTGTGTTTTTGCAGCATTTGAGAACAGTTCTAGAGTGGCCTAGTCAAAGCCCAAACCTCAATCTGATAGTGAACTCTTGGCACAACTTGGCTGTTCACATCTAATCCTGACAGAAATTTAACAACTTTGTCAGAAAAATTTACCATATGCCGATAAAAGGGATAAATATTTATGTCATTATTTTAGGTGACAGAATTTTATATTTCACTTTGACTTTAAAATGTTTTTTATTATTATTTTCTTGTCAAAAAAGCCACATTTTGTTGATCATTATGGCTTTTTAAAAACAATAAACATTCAAGGAGGTAAATACTTTTAATAGATGCAGTCATACAAATATATCATTTATATACTTGCATATATCGCGTATCATAACGTGTATTATATGAAATATAACGGAAAACCTGTGGAAGAGAATTAACAACATCGTTAGAACATAATGGCGTCTGGGTGGATATTATAGGTAAATAAAGGAAGACCCTGGACTTTTGCACAATACCAGACATTTCTGTGATCCCTGACAAAAGTTGTACTTCCTCTTTGTTGTGTCTTGTCACAATAAAAGCAGAGTCCATGACCTACTTTCATTCATTTACTTTCAGAAATAAGAGTTTTATCTCATGAAGAAACCAAAGTGCAGAAAAAGCTGTTTGAAGACTGAGAGAGACGAGTGAGAATAAATTATGAAGCTGATGGAGAATTTGAAATCATCCCTCAACAAAATAAGAATGTCTTCAGAGTGACTGCAGTGAGCTTAGTGTCCGCTAGGCGGCAGCTCTGAGCTGCTGACTGAGCGCCGAAATGAAGAAAAGACTTGAAACGAGGAAATGAGGAAACCCCGGTGAGATTCTTCCTCTGCTGGGAAGGAAAAAGATGAAGCGGGGAAAAACATTTCTATAAGAAAAGATCTTAAACGGCTGTGACTCAGAGATCACAGAAAGATTCACAGAACAGAAGACCAAACACCCAGTTCACCTTTCTGGTGAAACATTAAGCTTTTTTAAAATAGAAATTAAAAAGAGAGCATAAAAATTGTTTTATTTAGCAGAAATAATGAAGGTATAAATCATTCAGACAGATTTCAGATGTGATGAAGTCAAGAAGAGAGAGAAAGGAACAACCCGAGAAATGTTTGAAGTGTTTAAAACTCACTACTGTTGGTGTTTAAGTGTTAATTATGACCTTTTATTAATAAAAAGTCAGTTTTACCGAAGTTCAGTGGTGTCTCCACGTGGGGGGAACCTGGGGCCCATTGCCCACTCCCATAAATCCTATAATTTTTATAACCACAAAATATTTTCTGCATAATTTCAAGAAAAGCTAAAATGGTAATTTATCTATTTAGTTATTTATTTACGTTGCTCAAAAGATACGTAGATCGAGTATTTTAGGTCAAAAATTAACAGCAACAGTTTTTATTTTCAATACATATCAACTGATCCTTGACACTTCAAAACGTGAATTTATTGTTACAAATGTTTTTTTTTAATCAAAATTTTATATTTAACTTTTGAAGCATATTTAAAGAAAAGTAGAAGTTGTTTTATTGGTTTTGGTTTTGGTGTGCCATCCCAAGACTACCAGTGGCCCAACTGGGACAGACTTTTATTTATTTATTTATTTTAGCAAAGTCCCAACATATTTCTTTAATAAAGTTATGATCACAGACAGCTTACCAAAACGCTCACCGTAAATTGTAATGTTCTCTAGAAAAATTGAGGTGAAAATATATCAATTATGATACTTTAGGAGTAGTGGATTAAGATTCGGTTTATTGTTGGTGGATTTTTTTTTCTAAGGCCTAAATCCAAATCATTAGGTTGGGGAAATGTAGCAGATAAACACCAAATATATTGATTATGATGCAAAACATTGGAATTAATTGTTTGATTTTTGTACCAGTTTTAGCACCAGTTTCTGCACTAAGAATGTTTCCTGCATGTTCTCCTGTGCATACAAGTTCTTTTAATAGATGCTTTGAGTTCTCTCTGATTCTCTTTGGGTTCTTAATTGAACAGTTCGATTAATTAGTTTCTCTAATATCAGGTAATTCTTAATATTATGTTCAATAGTTTTGATACAATAATAATTAACTGTGACCGCATAACTTGCTGTGGTGGGCTGGATTTGGCCCGTGGACTTCGAGTTTGACACTGGAAAGTCGTGTGGGTTGACGTTGGCGGTTCTTGCTAGAGTGGCGCCTTGAGCCCAAGTTATTTAGTCATTTCCTTAAGGAAATAACAAAATGTAATAATTTGGTCTTTTTTAAAACCACTCATGTCAAACTGGAGGCCCCGGGGCCAAATCCGGCCCACCAAAGGTTTTTATGGGGTCCTCCAGACTCCAGATGCCAAGTTACATCAATCAATCCCTCCGTTTGTCGCATTTTTTAAGTAATGCTAACTCTAAACAAAGACAAAAGTTTGTCAATAAATTCATACTTTTGTCTATCTCCTTTTCAAATATAAATATATGCTGTTTGAATAGTGAATATGTTTGAAAAAACTAAATTAAGCCTTTTTGTTATTGTTAATTTTTTTTTTTTTAATATATTATTCTAACACTGATAACTTTTTCATACCTGCTGCTGCTGTTCCACCAGAATAAAAAGGCTGTATCTATTTTAAATTAACAAAATTAAAGTCTAATTTTCATTATCTCTGATTACTGAGTAACAAACGGCTCCACTTTATTCTCTATTGAACTGTTTATTAAACCATGTCGTCTAATACATTCACTGGATGCGCCTTCATGGCAAAAAGGAAAATTAATGGCGTCTAAATACTTTCTGAGGGTTTTTACAGTCAGATCATCATAAACGGGGTTTTCGATGCCCAAACTGCTGTTAAATGCATCGTTTTGGCGCCCCCTGTAGTCTGTCATGATAATGACTTTTGCTGGTTGATAAATTGTCCCAGAAATTATTGAGTTCATTTCAATTTATCATGTGAACTGATTGAGCAAACCAACTTGTGGCGCCCCCTCCAGCACGGCGCCCACTGCGCAAACCCACTTTGTGCTTCAGTCTCCACGGATCGCGCCGCGTGTTTTCGGCCGCAGGTGACCCACTCTGGAGCACAAGAGGGATGAGGAGTGCGCACGTCCCGCACGGAGCCCAGCTTCTCCTCCCGCCTCAGCCGCTGGCGCTGCGCCAGCTGCAGCACGAGCCTCTCCTCCTCTCCTCTTACGCAGCTTGCTGCTCACTTTACAGCGCCCCCCTCCTCCTCCTGTTTCTGAGGGGAGGGGTGGGGGTTCTCCGGGAGCTGAGAGAGGTGGAGCAGAGGTGGAGGAGGGAAGATGGGAGGGAGTCTGGGGCTGGAGGGGGGCGACGGGAGCCCTTGGCCGCCTATTCGCCTTCCAGTTGCCTCCACACTATATAAACACTCATTGGTGCCTCTGGCTGGACGCACACACACTCTTTGCGCACACACACTCACGCACTGAGGGTGACTTGTGTGTGCAGCCAGCAGAGAGAGAGAGACGCGCTCGGAGAGACAGAAAGGTGCGCAGAAAGGAGAGAGGACGGCAGACAGAGAGCAGCAGCAGGACGGAGCATCTCCTGCGCATCACTGCAGCGTCAAGGATCTTAAACGTCTCCAACTGCAACGCAGAGGCGCGTAAACTTTTTAAAATAGACAGATTTTTCTTTTTTCAAAAAGAGAGTTTTGGATCTGAATCACGCGGTTCCTGGAAGAGTTTCCCCCCATTTAAAGCAACTTTTTCCATCCCAGTCCAGAAGTTTTAAAAAGAAAAAAGTTTAAACTTTTCTTGGCTCCAGCTTGGCTTCACTTTTTCCACGTGTTTTTTTTTTTTATATTATTATTATTAACATTTGTCTTAAATTTCCAGACATTTTAAAAAATTTTTTAACTTTATACCTCCAATTTTTTAACTCACAAAAATGAACTTTCAAACAGCAGGAGCGTCCCCAGCCAGGTGTGCCTGCAGCCCCAGATGTTTAAATCATTAAAGCAAAACTGACTTTCGGTGATTTCATTTTTGTTTTTTCCTCTGAAGGTTTGAGATTAAAGCGTCACCTGTTGCTGCGTCTCCTCCACTCAGCCAGCCGCGGTTTGCGCTCTGGAGACGCCTAAAAACAAACAGAAAACGAGAACATAATCCATATCACACCTCCGCAGTTCATTCATTTCCAAAGCAAAAAGAAAAAAAAAAAGAAAACCAAGCCGCGCCAGGAGCGTTTGGAGTGCGTAAATCGGCGCTGCGCTTTTTACGCACAAGAACATAATCAGCAAATCAACAAAAACTTGTGACCCAGACTTTTATTTTTTTATTTATTTGTATTTTTTAAATATATTTTTTGAGCATCTTCGTCATCCTCCTCATCATGCTGTTCGACAGCTTCGACTTGATCTCGGCTCTGGCCACGCTGGCCGCCTGCCTGGTGTCCATGGCGCTGCTGGTCGCCGTCTCCCAGCAGCTCTGGCAGCTCCGGTGGACGGCCACCCGGGACAAGAACTGCAAGCTGCCGATGCCCAAAGGCTCCATGGGCTTCCCCTTCATCGGAGAGACCTGCCACTGGCTGCTGCAGGTAAGCTGGACCCGCTGGGACCATTTGAGTCACTGTCCGACCCGGTCAGAGGGAACTTCGCGTTTCACACTTTTCCATTTAGTCAGAATTAGTGAAGTTATCACGTTACTAATGAGTTAGTCTGATTTTCCCCCTTAAGCTTTTCACTCTAACCCGAACCAGGAAAGTCCAAACTACTCTGAAAGTCTGAAATTATCCCGAGTTTCTCTTTAAAGGTTGATATTTGTTGGCGAAGTTTGGAGCGGGACTCATGCTGATAATTACTTCAGTTGCAAAGTTTGACTTAAAAAAAATTATGTTTTTTTGTGGGAGATTCCTCCAGTGTGTGAAGTTTGGAGCTGCAGTCATGTTGGAAGATGCATTAGATTCAAAGGAATGAGTTGAAATGCAGATGATGAGTTTCTGCAGCTCCAGCTGGAGCATCCTCTGCCTCCAGCCGCAAAGCCGAGCAGAGCGAACAGAAAGAGACGCACAGCCGCAGCAGGAGGAGGAGATACAATCATATCATAATCATAGCAATCGGAGGTATAATGATGAGCGAAGTTCGCCGGGACGCGCGGAGGCACGTCGGCAGCGTGCGGGGTTTGAACTCGCGGTGCTCCCGTCGGTGCAACATCTGAAACGAAAGAGACAGAAGAGAGAGAGAGAGAGAAGGAGAGAGAGGGGAGACGCGTTCCCGGAATGCAGCCGAGGACCACGGCCAAGTTTATGGAGCGGCGACGGGAGGGGAGAGGGGGCTTGATGTCAGTCTGATGGAGGAGGCTGAGAGTGTCTGCGCTTATGAGGTCCAAATGTCTCCGAAACGCGCTGGAAAACTGTGGAAAAGTCCAGATTGTTGGCTGCGGCGCTGCTTCTGCAGGAGACTTTGCTTTTTTCCTTCTTGAGGTGAAATCGGAGTTGCACCGATCAGCCTTGAGTTCCTGCAAAATACCGATTTTTGTTTTCACCTACAGATGGTTGGAAGAGAGGATTCTGCTTCAAAGTGTTTTTTTAGAGCGGTTCAGTGGCGCGTTGTTGTCCTGAAGTGAAGCTTAGAGTTTCCTCTAACACGGGAAGGTCAGATTATTGGCACCTTGTTTAAATCCAGATCAGATGAAGCTGGAGGCTGAAACCAAAGCCTATTAAAACTCTAACATCAAAAGTGGTTTGTGGGAACCTTTCAGTCATTATTTACACAGAACCTGATGAGAATTTATTCAGGTCGGAGACATTATGTCCTGACAACAGATCATGTAAAATAAAAGAGCAAAGTTGTGTAAAAAAGCTAAATATCTCTACTTGATTCAAGAGCACAATTGGTGTCGCATCGCCTCCAACCTTCATTCCCTGTGTGAATAATAAACAACTGACAAAAGCTAATTTAACGAAGGCTTAGAGGATCTTGAAATAGTTTTCTGAAATTGTGAGGCTGTTTGTTGAGATTGGAGTTATTAGAGACCTGCTGTAGTCGTTAGCATCTAAAAACAACCAATCTGGATAAAGACTTTTAAGTGTGGATGGACCAGAGTCCAACCGCAGGACATGTGGTTCTGTGAGTCATTTGTTGTTGAAAGTTTAGATTTGGCTTTGGGAAAATACAAAATACATGCATTTTCATCCATCACAGTGTCAAATAAAGCTCCACATACTAAAATTTGGTCCCAAAAGATAGTTTTGCTACATTGGATCCTGGTGGAAATCTAAAATTTAGAGGCAACAGTTGCTGCAGTTTCCTTGTTGGGCAGCAGGTGGTGCTGTAGAAACAACTACCCAAGTCAGAGCAGAAATACAAGCAGAGTAAGAAAAACGTGAAATAACGCAGAAGCTTTTAATCTAAATATTATGTATAAAATCTGGATTTTTTGTTTGTAAGATTGTAGAACTTGACTGCAGCAGCTTATAAACATTAGTAAGAACAAGATCAGCCAAAAAATCAGAACAAATCTGAAGAATCTTTGGAAATATATCTAAAAGCGGTAATAACTCAGTAGTGACACCTCCTGTTTAAAACAGGAAGTGCAGTGATTCTAGTACATCCCAAGGTTTTGCTGTTACAACAAAAGCTTTTATACTTTCCTACGTTAAATAAGTAAAGTTGTTCGGTCTGTTTCTGCCTGCGGGGGGCGCTAGACTTCCATCAAGTTCACAGTAAGTGCTTCTCCAAAGATTACAACTGTATTTTTGAGAATAAAATGTATAAATGCTTGATTTTAGCAATGATTGAGTTTTTTGTTGCTACTATTAGTTTTGGCCACATGGGGGCAGCAGATACAAGTTTTTAAAGTAGTAATTGCATATTTTTGCGTTAGAGTGATATTCTTTGGTCCGATTGGGTCACTTTGGCCCAGAATTTTCATGTTTTGGTCCAGGTTTTGCTCTTTGCGAACTCTGTGTTGCAGCAGTTATTTTCTATCCGTATTTGTTTGGTTTCTGCTGTAGCCAAAACCAGCTCTGCTAGCGGGTTAACGGAGAACCAAAATAGCTCATTTGTGCAAAACATTGAGCTGAAACTCGCTGTGAAGAATTACAGCGGGGTGTTTGTTTACGTCAATGAACAAGTGGCGGCTCTGTAACAGCGAGGGCTTTAAATTTCTCTCGATACGAATCGACCGGTTCGAGATTATTTTCCTTTCTCCACTCACATCCTCTTTTGTTCTGCCGCGCTCTCGCCCGGCGTCCCCTGGCACCTCATTCAGGACTCCAACATAAACACTTAAGTGTCTAAACGTGTGTGTACAGTGTATATATTTTTACCTCGACACACACACACAGCTACATATTTCTGTGGCTGATCCATTTTAAAGCGATCTGCAGTTAGAAATAGCGGCGCGGCGGCTCTGCCAAGGATCTGTCTGCTCTCATTAGGAGCCGGAGCTTTCTGAATGGACGGTGCCAAGCTAGGAGAGCTACTGAGGGAGGACACACACAGAGTAGAGAATCACTTACCTACACCGGCAGATTTATGCACACAAAACAGCAAGAAGAAATAACAACTGTTTAGACCAGTCCAGATGCGGTTACTTCAAATACAAAGTGCGGTCCGGGGGCCATTTACGGCCCTCGGAGTGATTTTGGGTGGCCAAGACTAGCCTAAGTTTGGCTAGCATTAGATTTACGGACAATGTTAGGGGGAAATTTTTACTTTTATTTTCAACAATAGAAAATGTAAGGTGCAACATTAACTATTCATCTAGATTTTTGCTTTTAATTCAATTTTATTTATTCATAACAGGGAAATAAAGCATCCAGTGACTTTAACTGACAGGCAGTGTTGGCATTTAATAAACCTGGGAAAATAAAGCAAGAGTGAAAAATAAAACAAATAATATGTGTTCAGTTTATGTAGCAGAAAAATACAACAGTTGTTGCAGTTATATATAAAAATACAAATAAGTGCATTAGGGCCAGAGGAGGGATTTTACATTTATTGTCATGAAAACAATTGTGATTTATCGTTACAATAAATTTCAATTAACATTGTTTAACCCCTAAAATATCCGTATTGCTAGTTTCACTATTTTTTTCTACTGTTTGTTCAATGAAAGTACCAATAAATATTTAACATTCATGTTTTATTGATTGAAAAATGTTTTTGATTTTCAAAATTCCTGATTTTGATCAATTGATTTTCTCACCAGTAGGGGGCGCACTTAGAATCTAAAGGTAATATAAAAACATTTAAAGAGCATAATAATTTCCTGAAACAGTTTCTGATTCATCAGTTCAAATAAACTTTACAGTAAATACTTTCTGCTTCCACAAGGTGTCACTGTTGTGCAAAAATGCATTTTTGCCATTTTTTAAAATAATAACTCCGAATTAAGTTAAAAAAAAAAACAAAGTTCTTGTCGAATCAGGAACAATTCCTGTTTAGTTTTTTTTTCGTTTTACAAAATCCCGCTTATTGATCTTTTGAAACACGCGATTGACTACATGTTCATGTTTATATTTTTGCATAGCTTATTTTTTATGCAGACACTGTAACAGCGACAGCTTTTAATCTATCATCCCTCTTTCTGCCAGCCTCTAATCCCGTCTGGTTTACGGCGATGAAACGTAAACTATAGTGTGCAGGATAACAAACACGCTCTTCCTGCACCTGATCTATCAGCTCAATATCAGAAAAACAGTCTTAAAAATCAAACATCTTGGCTTTTAATTTTTTTATGTCTACTTTCTTGCTGTTTAAATCTTATTAAAGCTAAATTGAGTCCAAGCTACAGTTCAAAGTCGTATCTAAACATCGTGTTTGCACGGTTACTGTTTTAACTAACGGCGGATTTAAAAGTTTCTGAAGAGACAGAAATGGTCAACAAATTAAAATATGGCATGAATTTTAAAAGAAATGACAAACTATTAACAAGTATATGTTAATTCTTCTTCATAGTTGACTTATTAGTAAAAGTTACACCAATAGTTGATGTCAGAAGTTTTATTTGTTTTCTGGTTTACAGCAATAAAGAGGAGAGGATTAAGATTTCTCAGTCCCACAATGACGTTTAATTTCAGTTCTAATTATTAGTGCTGAACCTGCTTTAATTTATTATAGCATTATATTGTCTTACTGGATTAAGAACGTAACATCAGGTTAACATTGAAGCATTTTTATAGGATTTTAAGACATTTGAACCCAAATATTCTCTCATCTGGTGGAAATGAAAATCAGCTTTGTTCAACAGTGAATACATGAAATAACAAACTGTTAAAACATATTTTCTGTTCTTCAGAAAAACCACAAAGTCTCTACTGTACCGACAGTCATGACAAAAACCCAGAGCTGACTTCTTCAGAGGTTTTCGGAGGGTTGTGCCTTTAAGCGGCTCAGACAGAGCGAGCATTGTGAGGCCCGGTGGCTTCATCTATAGTATTTTCCATTACTGCGGTGCAGCTCGCTGTGTGCTGTATGACTGCGGTTATACACACAAAAACCCAAGGCAGGAATCACATAAAGCCATAAAACATCCCCAAAACATAATGCATGATGATGCAGAATCCACATTTACTTCCACAGTCTGCAAAAG